GGCTTCAAGATTGGACCACCTTATATTATAGCTGGCCGCAACGCGCACCCGAAATGGTAGTGCTATAATTTCTCCGCTGTTTGAGTGAACATGACTTTTGCTTCTTCATTTTAGAAAAATTTTTGAAGAAGCTGTTGGAGATGCCCTAATACACGTCCTCCGTACCTCAACGCACCTCTCATTACCTTACCTTCCCCACCTTTATACCCCTGATCAAACCTTGCATTAATTCCGGCACGCCGACGCAAGGTGCTAGACTCGTGTCGTGAATCTTTGAAATAAATAGTGGTCATGGAGACAGCATGACCCACGTCAGTGGGGGTCTCTCACTTACATAAGGTGGAATTTCTGACCAAGAGCCAGAGAAACTACCGTTGATTCATCAGAGCACTTTGCTCATTGCTCTGTTGGCCTCTTCGGTCTCTTCTCAGCGCTCGACTTCTCAAGCACTAAACGCTTCAGCCAGCGAAAACGAGAAGTGGTTCGGATGAGAAAGGAAAACCTTTTCCCCTTACCAACCGTCATCATAAGAGCCAAAAAGCTAACCATCTAGAGAAGACGACGAAGCTGGGCTCCTCTATAATTAATATTTGACGTATATAAACGCATCGGCTGAAAACTAGGAGCCCCATCACATGTGACTGCATTCAACATCTGCCTAATCGTCCGCATCAAGGCGTCACTTTGGTAGCTGTCGACAGCACATCTAAATCTCATACATACATGTTTAGCAATTACATATCGGAGCGAGACATAAACGAAGCCATGAATGAGAAATGAAGAGATTCGACACGTGGACCGATGACGACGACGTATTCTACACATCCCGGAGACTTTTAACACGTACAATTACAGTAAAAATCAACGTGATCTAAAAACAATCCGTCCGGTCTAATTAAATGCGACCTTCGCGCCAAAAAGATCAACGTGAAAAACCAACAGAGGACAGAGAACATTGGAGGTGCGTGCGGGTACACATGATGCCCCATTTGTGTGGAAGAACGGTGTGGACAACCAAACGTCCGTAAACTACAGACCCGCACGACTGGCGAGCTCAGCTCTGCAAATTGACGAAAACAGCCAAGACATACGTTAAAAGGTAAAATTAAGGAAAATCATCCTGTGATTTGCGGGGATGAGTAAAATCTTCCGTTGAAACTAATACGTTTACCGCGCTGGTTTGAATACATATCGTATCAGAACACTTCTGATGTGTGGAAAGTGTTCTGACAACCATTTAGCTATATAGAGGGCTTAAACCTTGCAAATTGGAAGCCTAAGGAGCATTCTTCGTAAGGAAGTGTTCTAATAGGATTCAGACACCTCATTTTTTAAATTTCCTTTAAACAAGGTCACATGGACGCCACATGACCAGTTTAATGACAAAACCACCATCATCTCTTTTCTCAAGGGAAGAAATGAGGGTACTTTCGTCATTAAACAGATCACATGGTGTTCATGTGACATTGTTTAATGGAAAATTTCAAATGAAGGGGATCAAAGAATCAGTTTTACAACTTTGGCGAAAATTTGTCACCTGTTAAAAATCATGAAAAAAATAGCACATTTTAGGAACATAAATTGTACGACAAAGGATGAATGGCTCTTAATAAAGCGTACCATACACAACAAATACATGGGTGCGTGCTTTCAGCTCATTCATCTCTCACATGGCTGAAACCCTTCCAACTTTTTGAAAAAAAAGGCTGCAACAGGATAAGAATCGCTCAAATATCTTCAAAGCTCTCATCCTCAGTGGATCTGTCTATAATCAGATCAAATATACAGGAAAAAGCATAGCCAGAACATTCCTGCAGATGTGACCTTTTCTGCTTTTTGTGCTATCCTTCTGAACCGTATAGAATATCAAATCAATACTCTTGGTAAGTCACCAATAATCACCCATGTGACGCTTTTTTTAAGGGTGTTTTTGGTTAGGAGTATTTGGATCAAATGCAAACAAATATTTCAAAATATTACCCAATTAGGTTTGCCTATGATCACTATCTACACTCAAAAGTCAATCAGTATTTCTGATCTTCTTCATTATTCAAGAGATCAACAAGAGAATATTCAAGTCCCTGGCACTAGAGAATTTAGAAATTAACCCAAAGATAACGTGCAAAATCTCGAGGGAATTTTGCGAAATTAACCCAAAGATAAGAGATGAATCCAGTGGCGGATCTACAACATTTTTTGTGGTGGTTCAAAATATACACTAAATTTTTTTCTCAAATAATAGCATGTGGGAAAAAAATGAAGGAAGGGTTATTAAAGAGAAAAACAATCATTTTTAAACAATGATTTGACTTATATATATAAGAAACAAAAATATTTATAGAAGGCCTTAAAGAGGTAGACAGAACAAAGGGATAAAATGAAAGGAAAAGAAGAAGAAGAAGAAGAATAGAGGGGAGGTAAAAGGAAAGAAGCCTAAAAGAGAAATTTTCTAAGGCTGGATGGTTTGAACTCCAGACCTCTTACAAAATGTTACCAACTGCAATAACACTAGGCTATAGAGAACTTTTGTATGAGGTGGTTCAAGTAAACCACTTTGAACAAGGGTGGGTCCGCCACTGGATGAATCCTAGGGAAAAGGGCTCGAACGGTCGGAGATTTATCGTCAGAAACCGCGGGTAGCTCAGAAGGCCCGTCGACGACAGCGAATTTGTTGCCCAGCGACAATGGCTGGAGAAGCCTGCCTGCCGGTTGGCCACATGGCAGGGATTAGCGACTGACGATAATAAAGAAAATATTTTTTGAACTTCTTCCATCATGATTATTAGCTTTTAGAGTTTTCACTGGTATACACGCCCTAAATTCTTGATATTCTTCAAAGGCAGATTTACCTCGCATTAATGTTGTTATCACGCGGCTGATATCTGATCATCTATCCCTACTACCGCTGAATTAGATCAAACGCAAACAAATTTCAAAATAAAAAACATCATACTAAGGGAACACGAATCCAACTCTTTTTATAATAAGGACCCAACAAGAATATACGAACCCAGTTTGGGATAAAACTGAACCTCAGGAAGAAAAAAAAATTTCTGCATACACAAACCCGTGACAATACATGAACCCAGCAGGCACAAATAATAACAAAATATACCATTAAAATTATTGAAATAAAAAATAAATCTCACCATTCGTAAATACACTCAAGCTCACCCGCCGGCAGTAGTGCACAGCACACAACGCATCCGAGACCCACCAGAGTTTCCATCCTCATCACTACCATCATCACCACTATGCATTATATCGCTACTTTCGATGCCGATACTATCCGAGCCACCAAGAAGGCAACTAACATGATAAGCATGGCAACAAAAGAAAACAATGACTGAAAGGTTTTGAAGGGAGAAAGGATCAAAACACAAGCAACATCTTGCTCCACCCCTCGTTTTGGACTTGACTTCAATCGCTCTTGCAGTTGGCATTCTCAGCATCTCGTTATTCGAAGTGCTATCTTCCCTTTTCCTGTGAGTTTCTTCTTCTATGCTGCTCAAATAGATCGCACGCCTGGCCTCTTTGAAGTACTTGATCAAAAGGTTAACACAGTCCGCCTGCAAAATGTTTAAACTCAATGAGAGAAGATGTAGGAGAAAGAAATGTGAATGTTTGTTAGGTATAGACACTGTGAAAACCTTGAGAATATCATTGCATCCGTGTCTGAGAGAGGTTTCTGTCCGATAATCTGTGATGATTTTGACAAGGCGGTCCCTTAACCTACAAAGAAATGTTACATATTACTGTTTGTTCTTGACTTCTTGAAAAGTATAGCTATTTGATGAATATATCAATTTGAGATGAGATAATTTGGTACTGCTAAAGAAACAAAAATCAATAACACGAACCTAGGTATCCGAAGTCCATTAGGCACACGACTGACTATACACAGAGGATCCAAATTGCCAACAGTGTGTTCCAGCAACATTCCTACCTATCAAATTTTGACGCAAACAATGTTAACTGCTACACCGTCACTAAAGCTAAATAATCAAGTAACTGTATTGGAGAAGACTTCATTTTTCTGCTATTCATGTACCATTTCAGGCTTGCGAAGACACTGTTTTATCAATTCTTCCCATAAATCATCATCATGCTGATCGGTCACGAATTGTACTGCCTGCATAAAGATCCATTATGCTTTTTTTCTCAATCACCTCTGAAGTCAAAAATGTACTTTGATTCACGTATGGCATATGCAAATAAGAAAGCAAGAGGCAAAACAAAACTGAAAATATCCTTGTACATGCAGTGAAACGAATGGACATACCTTCTGTATATCTTCTAATTTGTTTATGTAAACTGCAAGAGCCTTTTTCGTGTTTCCCATCCTCCCCAGGACAAAGGCCTGCTCTTTAGGAAGATCTTTCTTCACACAAATATCATATGCCTGACAGGCAATCAAAAAATCATGTCATTGTTTAGCTTTCAAGCCGAACAAGAACACATTTAAGAGTTTCTTGAGCTCCGAACCTTGTCAAGCCTATAATGTTCACTACTTTCGAGAAATGGAAGCAGCATCCGTGGTTCATAATCAGCATAAAGCTCTACCTACCACATGAAAGTAAATAAATAACAACTCAAAATCTTTTCAAAAGATAGAAGTCATAATCTACGAACCAACTAGTATAAACATAGAAGCACTTTGAATCCAAAATTGGTCCAAAGTGAATGTCTCCTCTTTGAATCCAAATTGTGCCTTAAGAGTCGATTGCACTTTCTTATTGTGAATTTACCATCTCGAGAATGTCTCCTCTTTGAATCCAAATCGTGCCTTAGGTCAATTGCACTTTCTTATTGTGAATTTACCATCTCCTGTTCCAGACTCCTTGGAGAAGCCAGACGATTTTTGTATGGTCGCTTTCAGTTTGGATAAGCATAAATTGCGAACTATCGGGATAGGTTCTGTACTCAAGAGGGCAAAAACAATCACTATCTATGATATATAACAAGTCTCCCTTATCCATATATTCCTCGGATAGGGATTTGGCACAAGTTTTAGAGGGTTGAAATGGATTGACGTCAGGATGACATCTAGTTTTTGGTCAATCTTTCTGTGGAGACTTTTGCGACCATGCTCCCAAGCTACCATCAATTTAATATTTAATGATAACAATGATGATGAATCATAATTATACCTATTTACATGAATATCTTATTTAGACAAAGACATTGGATGCCTAATGAAAGTTATTGGAATTACAATTTAAACGAATTAATAGATGTACTCAATCAGATAAAATAAGCATCAGTTACAACTTTACTCGTGATACATATCGTACAATATGACATTTAATAAATATCATAACACATTTGCCGGCATAAAAGAACATTATGTTTTTTACAACTGAGGAGTATATCCTAAGCCCAAGAAAAGCAATCATTCAATTTTCATAATGGGCTATAGGGAATTCAATGACATGAGGTATTTAATTTTGAAAGAAAATCATGGTTATAGTGCTCCACGAGTTTCTCATTCTTCTAGCACAACTGACTAAGAATCATGAATACAAAACAAGGTGATAGCGCGTATACTTGTACCATCAAAGATGTAAAAGCAGACAACAAAAGAAAAAAAGGACTATATACAAAGAGGGGTGGAATTCATTTATACTGGAAAAGTGGAAACGCGGAAGTGTAAACAAAAATATTACATGGAATAGTCAAGGAATTCTGAGTATTCAACCTACAATAAGTGAAACCTAGTTCGGCAATTAGGTCTCAGCTGTGAAACTGTAGTTTAATTTGATTGTTAAACTGCGAACGCTGAACCATCGGCAGGTCCAGAAAATTCTTCTTGGGGGCGGATAATAAGTATCTATTTACCTTAAAAAATATAATATTATAGAACTATAGCAATAGTGCTCGTTTCTTTTTTGGGTTTCTAGTGTTCTAATTTTGGGCTTTTAGCATTTGGACTCATTTGACTTGACTGTTGGGATTTTATATATGCTTTTACTTTCCAATGAGTCAATAACTAATTCAATATGCTACTAATTAGTGTTTTAAGACAAGTTGTAGTGCAATTTTTAAATTTTATTTGTCTTTTTTTTTCTTTTTTTTAACGGAGTTGAGGGGAGGAAGGGGAGTGTCGTAAAATTTACGAGATTTACATGCAATTTGTAAACTTTTAGGGGCGCAACTGCACTCCTACGCATGTACTTGCATCCGCCCCTGCAGTGAACACATTTTGGTAGCAACAGTTTTGGTTAGCAAAAGTTTATGAAACCGAAAAAACATGTTTGGGAACCATTGCGAGATTGGCAAAACCATGTCTTCAAGCACACAATTTGTCTTACTAACCATAGCTTCAGAAACTCCATTCCAACTAGAAGTGTTGGTAACAACAAAATGAATGAAAGCAAGGTTTGTGTGCAAACTCCTGTTTGAATTTAACTTGAAGTGTAGCTAGGCAAACATGTTTGCCAAACTAGGATGACAAGTTACCTGCAAATCATGGAACTCCCTTCCCGCATTATCGTCAACTTTAAATAGTGAATGCAAGTAAAAGTGCAAGAAATATTTGCTATCACACTTCTTGATGGCACCCAAAAGTTGTCTCACAACTTCAGAAGGAGGTATGATATCACGATGTTGAATCAGCAAAGACACTGCCTTTTTACTATCAAGTATCATGAGCTGAACAACCTGCAAAGCAGAAAACTACTAAGAAAATATTAAATAGTCACAAAAAAGGAAGAAAACTTGGAATGACAAAGCATAATTGTATGCAGCGATCAACTGCTAGAAAATATTAAGGCTATCTTTGCAAATATGCGTGAAAATCCTTCAAATGAGGGATAAAAATAACTTCTACTAGCATTAGATTGTACATCATTCTATAAGTACTTGCGTGAAAAATTAACTTCTTCGTAAAATTCCCTTTCTTTTGCTTATGTTAAGGAAAGACGATGATTACTTGCCAATTAAGGCATTCTCTTGTTTCTTGTTTGCCTGGATTTATGGGAAAGAAACAGCTGAGGGCCAGTTTAATCAAATTATTAGTGTCAGACAAAACATGTCCATCAAAGTAAATAGCAAAATAGGGGAGGATACAAGGACACATCAACCACATTGACACCTTGTAGATCTCATTATCAGAACCTGAAATTCTTATTTTATACTCAATCCATGTGAAATTTCAACCAATGATTAATTAGGAGCTGCTATATGCTAAATATATTAAAGCATAAAGACAGCAGCCTATCCAAATTCATGGGATTGGCTATAACTTCATTTCATAAAGATTCCTCTTAAGTTTTAGATTGTCTGGGACCATATTGAGGCATGTCCTAAAGAACAGGCAAGGAAGCTGCCTTACAATACTTACTAAACAAGAAAAAGAAGTTTTTTTTTAATCATTGTGTAATGTCAAGTTTTCTGAACATAGAACAACATGAAATGACTTTCACTGTTCCAGATTCTCCATTATTATCTACATTCTTCAAGGTAAAAGTTAACCAGGTCATTTATGATTTTTCCCGCTTTATGATTCTTCTAATAAGCAGGTATTTATCTCAAGCAAAGTGACAGGGATGGCCATGTCTTCTATTAAGCACAATGAAATTATCTACTACACTAGATTTGTTAGAGTTTCTACAGAACAACTTTGACTTACTTTTGCATTAAAGCAAGTTTAAGTATTTGAGGACATGTTCTATAAATCTCACATAAGCCCCAGTTCTTCACTACTAAAAATCAGATTTACACCAATCATTCCTCAAATAAACGTGAACATCATACAAGGATTAATGGATATCAGCCATTCCTCCTACAGCAGAAAGCAGTCATTTTACTATTTGATGAAGCGATCAGCTCCATTCATGCTGATCACAGTGACATAATTGCAAAATTAGAGGCTTTTCTAATTTCTTCCCCTTAACCCATGGACAAAGAGTATGAAAATTACAAGATTCTGTGTAACCTATGTTGCATGGGTACAGCTAAGGGTATAGAACACGGCAAATTTGCAAAAGGTAAGGTACGAGGACGCGGCTATATAAATATTTATAAACACATATATTGAAATTAATAGTTTACATGATATCAATGTAGTTCTATTCAGGTGTTATGAGATTAAAATTTATATAACATTTTTATGTTTTCTTTTATTATGTGGATTATAAATGGAAAAAATGTTCATTTTTTGAACTAGACACCTAAACGACCATTAAAATCATAGGTTGGAACCCGAAGAGTTTCAAGAAGTGGATGTGAGGTGTAGAATTTACATTCAGGAATTGTTTGACACATAGATGTTGAAAATGAGGGACGCTAGAGTGAACCACAACCCGGATTCAATCATCTTGGATGTGCAGTGGAACACAAGCCGATTCACCAACTCGAGCAACCCGATCTAGAATTTAAATAACTTGCTATTTTGAAAAATAACTCTTTTTCAAAAGCATAAACAAAAAAAAGTGAGAAATAAAGCGACTAAAGTATGCATATGTTAGTTGCAACAAGATTCTCAAGGTTCTTTTACCATTACTAATATCAATTAGAATACTTCTTAAACTTGACTCTTGCAAAACCTTTGATTCCTACATTGAAGAATCGAACCTAGAATGTACAATGTTCTCCAGTGTACCGTATAAGTCTATCTCCCTCATATAAGCCTACCCCCCTCGTACCCATTCCTAATTAGTGGCGTACGACGCTCCCTTTCCCATCCCGTGAACCAGAATGAACTGGGTTCCATGCAACTATGGCTTGACTTTGACAAGTGTTCTAAAATAAAACATGCATTGTTTGAGAATATGCCCGAATAAATGTACGCATTATATGCAAGTAAGGTTTTAAATATCTGATATCAAAGAAATATCGGATGGACAAAATTCATATCTGACTGCGAATATCATAGAAATATTGGAGATATATTGGAATGTCATGACAAATATTTGCATATATAGTATAATGCACTAAAATGTAATCTCAACATACTTAATAAAATCTAAGCATATAAAATATAAATAATATATGTTTAGAATCATTAATCAACCTTGTAAAATAAAGAAAAGCACAAATCAACATTGCAACATCTCGTCCGATTTTTTAGACCAAAATGCCATTTGATATAATGGAAAAAGTATTTTATCTCACCCAAAAATAGACAAATGTGGTATATTATTTTGCAACAAGCTATATAAAAGGATACAGCAGCCAGCATATCGGCCAAAATAGCCAACAAGCGGTAATTGATGTTTAGAGACCATACCAATTGTAGCAAGCCCTGTAAAAGGATATATCGGACCATATAGCAGGCCATATCCGGGATATTGAAAACATTGTATGAAAATTTGTGTACGGGTATGAGTACATGTTGGGCACGAGTACGACTTCAAGAGAGTACCCAGATAACATAGGGTGTAATTATATTACATGCAATGGAGAAAAACATGAAAAGTGTTAGGTAGGCGAGAAAGAGAAAGTTATATGGAGTGAGTTTTTCCCCTTTGCTTTTGTAGTAGATAAGCCTAAAAATCAACCCTCTCAGAATCACAACTTATCAACTTGTGCTTTTCTGCAAATCCCTTCCAGAAACTAATTACCAAAATAAATTTTTTGCAAAAAGGAAAAAAAAACACTTACTTTACTTTAAAAGAAGTGAATCTATTCTTATAAGTGAAGGTACTTATCACATGCAGTGGTGAATACCATAACTAAGTCAACAATGTTATATGGATCGGCATAGTAGGATGTATGTACCTAAGATTCATAGGGGTGGAAGCAAACCAAATATTTAACATATAGTTCGGTATTTATTCGCTTAACTATTCAGTCATAGATATTTCATTTAACAATAAATGAATAGCGTTTAGTATTCGGTTTCTTAAATTTAGTCTCTCTAACCATTAAACCAAAACTTCGAAGTTATAGTGAGGGTCAATGATTATAGTTTTATATTAATTCTAACACGGATAATAAAAAAATAGATAACCAAAGCTATACTCGATTCGTTTGTTTAATAAACTATACATTAATCCTATAAAGTTTATTTATTACATTTTCTATGCATCCCAAAAGTTTATTACACATAATGCCTCATATAAATAGTTTTTTATTTGTGAATATTATATTTATCACTAGGTTGCACATTAATTGGTTGTATCATGTATGGCCGCCTAGGTAAAACGGCCACTTCCTTCTAGGTGTCACGTCCGTATCCGACACTCTGTGGACACTCCATGAACACTTGTGGTTCAAAGAAAACCCCAATTTCCCTCTTACTTATACCCTGAACTAGTTTCTCTGGTAATATCAACTTCAAAACCAATTATTTTTTAACCCGAAAATTAAAACTCATTACTTAAATATTTGAAAAACACTCATCGTATTATCCCATGCGGTCAAAACTGAACCTTTTGTTGTTAAATCTTATTCTTGGTTTAATTTAACTTGATTCTTAATTGTTATAGATAATAGAAAGAAACATACAATGTTATTGGTATTTTCGTTCAATATTTGATCATGCGTATGTATTATATACCATCTCCCTGTATCCTACATTTTACTAATTTGTCGTGTCTCGTTTTTGTATCCATGTCCGTCTCTATGCCTATGCCACTTAGGTGGCCGCATTACAAGATTATGATAGAATAACGAAAAATTACCGAATATTTACCTAATAGTTCATAATATACAATATAAACCCTATTAACGAATATTCACAAATAGTTGTTGAATATTCAAATATTAATCAAACAGAACTTGAATGCCTGTTTCCTATTCGTTTCAATTCAAATACGAATTTGAATAGACGAATATGAATATGAATAATGGAATATTCGATTCGAATTTGGTTTGTTTCCACCCAAAATTTTTGTTGAGAAGTGAAATAACAATGATGTCACAAATACCTTGTCATGAATGGCATCATGTAAGCTATGTTTCTCAATGAAGTCGAATATCTCTGGCTTCATTAGCTGAAAAAGAAAATGGGAGAGTTTTAGGAATTTAAATTGGGAGTAAAATAATATAATTTCATAAATGAAATTCAGCATGTAATTTTGTTTATTGTCCTTCACTTTTGAAGTGAAATTATACCATAGTTTCCTTAAGTAGACAAATAGAACAAAATATTTGATAAATGGAAGAAAACACTTACATCAGCATATAACGATAGGGCCTTCTCATATTGAGTATTGATAATGTATAATTCAGCCAGTGCCTGTTGCTAAGAAGGATAAGCAATAGAGGTGATAAAGCAAAAATGCACAGAAATTTCGTTCGCACCTCTTTGAGCAAATCAGTCATAGAGGAAGTGTTCATCTGAGGTTCAATGGCTGAAATAACAGGCAACGCAGAATATAAGGTAGGCGACCAGCATTTTACAGTTGATAATAAAACCTTGTGAAAAGATGGATTAGTTGCCAAAGCAACTAGCGCGACCTGCATTAGACATTCTAGATGAAGATTAGAGTCTCGCAAAGTCAGGATATAAGAAAGAAAGAAGAAATAAAGTAGGAAAATATATGTGGCCAGGTGTACACACCTCATAAGCAGTATCAGTCAGACGTGGATTTTCAGTAGGCATATAAGGAACTAAAACAGGTAACTGTCGAAGATGAGCAAAATGGAAAACCCATCTGATAAAAAAACATCATTATAAAGAAATCGAAAATTATTTATATAATAAAGATAGCTTTATATACTACAAACCTCTCCCACACAGAGGCCGAACCACGAAGCAGCTTAGGACACAGTGAAGCAGCTTCTGCATATCTCCTTTCAACAATCAAATGGTCGAGGTATCGTGATCCTACCTAAGCATACAGAATAATGAAATTAACCAAACAAATTATACCTCTTGGATCTAAATTTTAAACAAAAAATAGAAATAACATTAGAAAACATTGATTACAAAATAGTTCGGAGGAAAATATAAAGTTAAACATTTAGAAAAAAAGGATCAACTGCCATAATCATATAGCAAAAACAATAAGCTTAACATTACAAGAACCAGATAAGGATCTAAACTCATTGAATTCACACCCATCGTGCCAATTCTGGTGTCAATTTCAGCATTCCCATTAAAATGCCTTTGTTATAAAGCCCTACTAGAATTTCTAGATAGCCAATAATTTTTCATTCTAGAAATCTAGTAAATGAAGCAGGTCTGAGTTCTTGTCACGTTTTAATAAAGGCAAAGGAAAAAACATGGCTTAAAACTGGTACCAAACTACACTAGTCAATATATCAATCATAGTTTGCAAGAAAATATTAAAATTCACAATTAGCAAGCTGACAGAGACTTTAAAATAATTTGGAAGATAAAAAAACATCCACTGCAATTTATCTACCTCATCAAGAAGCTCAGTCCGTCCCTTTCCTGCTTCAACAGCAGCTAAAGCCTTCTCATGCCAACCATGTTGAAGAAGCCAAGAAATATGATCTTCAGCATCTCTAGAGATAACAAATATGTTAAGATTTTATCAAACCAAATATGTAGTTCTACAAGTTCCCCAGTCTGTTGACTATAATACAGTTAACACTAACTCAAAGTGGAAACTGTTCAAAACAAAATGTGCAACAAAAGAAATTATGGAAAATATCTTGAAAGTCAAGGGTATATTTCAAATGTTTATCGGGTTACCCAGCTTTAAGTGACAGAATTTTAGTTGAATGGTATGGAGGTAACAGTGATATATCAAGTAACCACTACACGGTCATACACCTAAAACAAACCTGTTAGTTTGTGAGACTTCTTGTCATCTTGCTTCCCCCTTCAAAGAGAGAATTGTTTATGCTGCAGATACTTTACTTAATAACTAGTGTATTTGACTGTGGAAGTTTGCTCATTGTCTCCATCCTTGTTAAAGCTGAATTTATATTCCTTATTATATTGTGGCAATATGGTCTAGTATCTTCTATAAAGATAACCATTTTTACATGCATGTGCAAAGTGCATCCATGTATCTGACTCATAGGAAAACACAACAACAATAATATATTAAGTTAATGATGCTGCATGATTTTGACATTCTTCGATTATATAACATATTCATTTAAAGATGAAGGAAGGTAGAACAAGTAACTAAGATTGCAATTCTTCACTTACCTAGGCCTCGCAATGACGACATCCTTAGGAGAAACGATATAGTACAAAGGCTCATCACCTTCTGCCCACTGGCCACCTGCATAGCTGCTTCCTACACATGAAGATACAAGCAAGACAAGCAACTGACATGTGCAGCTGAAGCTCAGAAAAAATTGAAAGGCAAACGAGCTGGGAAAACATTTACCTGAAAAAGGAGCATGCACAAGAGCATAATCCTTTGCCTTATAATGCTCAAAACCATGCACTGGTAGTGCATCTGTAGTAAGTTCCTCATTCTTCCATGTGACAATACGAACTTCTGGTCGCTGAGCACTTCCCTGCAATACAAATACATGATGAGCTGAACGTGTGAAGCAACTTTACCATGAAAAATATCGGTATTCTCAATTTACAGCCATTAATTTTATACATGGCAGTGGTGTGATATTCACATCGAAGATGTTCAGAACTGAATCACATGAATGCCAACTCCATCTACCTGAAGGTGCCTGTTAGTAAAGCACATGCAGTTCCCACTTAAAAGGAAGCTTATGTGATTAAGTAGTGAGTTACTTATACGATGGTTAACTGAGCATCATGGCTTCATGTCATCAGAAGCTGGAGTCTGTGACCATTTCCTATGGAGATGTTGAGTAACCATGAATATATGCCAGTAATCCTAACTTCATTGCTACAGACCATTTTTCAGTGCGTACCATGTATCTATTCTGGAAATCCACTCAGTTACTATTTTCCCATACCCAAACTTTAGATTAACCAGAACCAAGGCCTTAAATCTCAGCGAGTTTCAGTTTCAAGGACTGTTGCAGGACTTCAAATCTGGAAGTGATGTTCATCTCTAGTAGGTGTACATGCAGGGAAATTAATATAGAACTAATATTTTGAATAAAATAAATGAAAATGAATTTTCAATGTTCACATTTAATCTTAAGAGTGAATTTGAAAAAATTTCCCCGGACAATGTATTACAAAAATAGTCATTATCTAAGATTTGGGCATCAACCAATATCATGTCTGACCTGAAAACCAAACTGTAACCAACCGTACGACCGGATCATCCTTCACCTGGAAACTAATTGTCATTCACCTGACCTGAACATTAAACCTATTGTCTATAAGAGAAAATATAGCTAACATGGTGACTCTTTAGGCAGCCACAGCAGCATGTTACAGATGATCGACAAACGACCTTCAAATTACATAAAAGAGTAAAGAACATGATCCTATACATCGAAGTTGCATTTCTCCCAGCAGTATTCAAATGAAATTAGCTATCTTCTTCTAGGAAACAACCAAAGGCAAAAATAGGCAAAAATAGATATAGAGGACATTCCGAGTAATCAAATGATCAAAAATGCCATAGAAATAGTCTAAGATGGATGCTCATAGCCTCACATGTAAAATCCTATTTGCTTATACTAGATACAATATAGCTGCAACACATTGAAGAGGACAATATACAACTTCAATATCAAAAAATTAAAAAAATGAGGGAGAAAGCCAATCTCAAAAGCAATCCTCAGATGCTGGTGCGATGTTAACATGAAATTCAACATCACTATCATTCTGTTATTAGTGATATATGAAAGAATTACCAGGCGTGAAGGGATAGTGCTACTAAAATCCTTTTCACCATTCTCCTCCGCAGGAATGTAGGCCAACACAACCAAAACATCACCAAAGGGAGCAATGCCAGATATATAGTATGTAGTCTGAAATGATGCTACAATATCCACATACTTTGTGCTTGATGCCTGAATAGTCTTTTGCACTCCATTTGCTCCAGATGCATTGGTTCTGATTGCAGCAATCTTTACACATGTTCCCCATCCAATGACCAACATTGTGTCATCCTATGTGCATACATCCTTGTTAGCATCTAATGCAGAAAATAAGCAATCTAATTAGAGAACAAGAATATACAACACCTTTAGGACCCTCTCAAGTAACTTATATCATTCCAGTCATAAAATTTGTCATTAGGCTAGTCCATTTTAGTATAGTAGAATAACTAAAAGAAAAGGAAGTACTTTTCCTCAAGGTTGGTTGAAGACAAAGACAACATTATATTATAACTATGTTTTATAGTATACAAGACTGATTTCATAGATATACAATACCAACATGGATTTGCAGTAAGCTTTTCTAACTATTATTTACTCAAAAGTCATATCAACCTTGATAAAGTTCAAGAAATTGCAAAATCCCTACAGAAATTCAATAACATACCACTTGCTAACTTGACGGAAGATATCAACCAGTTAGTTATTCTTTAAATTAGCAAATCATGTCAACCATTGAGCCAAACTTTTTTTTTCTTCTCTTCAAGTAATAGTGCACTTAAGCATCACTGCGTGAATCAGACTATGTCTCCCTATGCTTCCCCTCACTACAGAACCAAGCACAAGGGTGCTCAGTATACAATACTAATTGAACCTTGTTATGAATTGGAGGGAAACCTAGAACTAGAAATATTAAAGTGCTATTTCTCTAACGGTGATGAGGAGAATTGGAAATAAATATATTTCTCTTTTCTCTAGTCAAGATAACACATCTAAATGGATCCATTTGCTAGAGCAAAAAGTGGGCTTCCCGTGATACTCAGTTAATTCAGCTGCATCAGCTGCTTAATGCAGAATGGTAATAAAAAAAAAATTAAAAACAACCTGAACACACCTGCCAAACTAAATGAGGAAGCAGAAGTTCAGGACGTGGACTTCCCCGAGGCCTCTCAATGAATGCCATACGTGCATTATTTGCCATGTCATAAACTTTTACCCCTGCATCATTTGCCCAAGCAATAAGACTGGTCCTCCATTTCACTGCATGTATTGGACCTTCTCCATCATGTAATACCTGAGACAAACAACATATTTATGATTGAATTCTAGAGCAGCAAATATTAACATTATTCCTTGTGTCTAGTCCACCCAATACCTGTTTAGAATAACCTAGCCAGGTTTTCGAATTCAAAAAAAGTTGACCAGCTAAACCACCAGCAACATATCTTCTTGATGATTTCCGTGAATAATCTGGGTCTAGAGCTAAAGTTTTCATCGGACGATAGTACTCAAATTTCAACTTTTCATCAGTAAAAAGGCTGCTAATAACCACAGTTCCATCATCTGAGCAGCTACCAATATATTCACCATCAGCATCAAAGCTAAGGTCATTGACCATAGCAGTATGAGCAGCAAACTCTTTAACCTGTTTAAAGAGAGAGAAAAAAAAGATGTGAATATAACCTGACTTTCTTATATGCAAATAAAAATAACAATAACAGTAAAACTAAGAATTAACTCATTTTATATGCTAACCTCATGCAGAAAAATCTTATATAGAGAGCACCTACAAGCTCTCACAAAGCTTACTCTTCAAGAAATATAAAGAAAAGGCCAAAAACAAATTAGACCTAATCATACTACACAAATTAATAAACAATCTCTACTAACCGAACCACCTTGCTAATACATTTTTTTCAATTTTCGTTCAGGTAATCTTATGCTTATCTACCAAATTGGCATTTAAAATAGACCTTTTTTTACCACTTTGGCATTTAAAAACACTTTGGTGTCATTTTGGTATTTGAAGAGTGTAAATTTGGCAATTAGGTACAAAAACTTGCCGGCGATTCAATTTTTCTGGCGAGAGTTGTTGGGAAATTTTCTTCCATCCCGCTGGCCCTTAAATTTATTGTGTTTTACACTCTTTTTTCTCCTTCAACCACTCTAAACTAAAATTTCTTCTAACCCTTTACCTGATAGACCCTCTTTACCCTCTCTTTCTCTCTAGCCCCTCCCTCTCCTTTAACCTCTCCCAATTCAAACCCAAACTCTAATCCAAAATTCAAACACAAACCCTAATCCAAATATGGGGTTGATCATTTGGATTAGGGTTTGGGTTTGAATAAGCGGATGTTTAAGGGGAAGAAGGGGACTCTATTGATGAAAAAGAATGAGAGGGGAAGTAGGATTATTGGATAAAGGGGTAGAAGAAAATTGGAGGTTGAAGGAGAAGACAGGTGTAAAATACAATAGGTTTAAGAGGTCAGAGGGCTGGAAGAAATTTTTCAAATAGTTCTCGCCAGAAAAATGAACGCTAACGAGTTTTTATACCTAATTAACACACTTTAAATACCAAAAGACGCCAGAGCGTTTTGAAGTACCGTAGTAGTAAACAGCATCTGTTTTGAATACCAATTTGGTAGTTAGCCCGATGCAATGTTTCCCTTATTTTCATCTTAGGTTCCTTGGGAAGTTAAGTTTTTTTATGGTAACTATGGGGAAACCAACAGAATGGATTTTGAATGGGAATAAGGTCAAAGTCATTGATTTTATAGGCTAATCATCATCAATTTTCACTTCTTTCAGCATATTAAACCACCTAATTTTGCAACCGACCCAGATTTCCCAATTTAATTAAGAAACCTAATCCAGAGCACAACAAACTCCAATATTTCCACTAGCAGAAAAAAATATATATACATGTTAAAATCCAAAACCAAGTTAACCAAATCCTAGCCTCCAAACCCTAAATTGAACCAATTTCGACCAAAACTATACTAAAACTTAGCGTATTACATATATGGCAAACACTCCCGAAATTAAACCACCTAATTTTCCTACCAACCCGAATTTCTAATTCGCTATTAAGGAAGCCCTAATCCAAAACTTCCTCTAGCAGGAAAAAAATGTATAAATGTCAAAAATGACAAAGATGCTAAAATCCCTAAATTGAACCAAAATCACCTGATTCCCTTGAAAATCGAGTATGTGGACGGTGCCATCGTGCGTTCCGAGCGCGATCATCCGCTCCGCGATCGCGATCGAAGCAGCGGCGTCGGTCGATAGAAGAGATGGCAAACTACCTCCCATTCTCTGATACTTCAATCTCGGCTCCTCCTCCTCCTCCTCCTCCTCCTCCTCCTCTTCCTCTTCCTCTTCCTCTTCATCCTCTTCCTCTTCTTCTTCTCTCTCATCATCTCCGTCGACGCCGTTCTCCGGCGGATGATGATCTGACGCCATGATCGTCGCCGCCACCGCCAGCGAGTTCTGCAACAAGCAAAACCCTAGCTTTCTATAGAAAATCAGCTGCGAACTCTGTTAATGCCGAAAATTTTCAGGTTCGATTCGAAATATAGAAATTTTCCAGCTGGAGCTTCAACGGGCCGATAATAATTAGCCTTAGCAGTATATGAAGAGATTTTGAAGGTAGATTTTTAATTTGGGAAAAAAATGAAGAAGAGCGAGAATTTTCTGAGGAGGGAGAAGAGGCGGTTGTGATGAACCCCAAGAACAGTGGAGCAGTTAACCCGTTTCCTTTACTTTACATTTGTCCGACGCTGGCCGCTACAGTGAACAGCGTCATCTAATTAAATGTCATCCGCACCGTTCATTTTTTAATTAAATATATTTTAGTAATAGTTTTTTTTTCATTAAATATATTATCCGAATACAATTTTTGTATTTTTATGTTCTGTGACTGTGAGTGATAACTTTTTTTTTGAGTTTTGCTTTATCAAAACTTATCATAGATAGATAATATAACATAGGTGCATATATACAATGTAAGTATCTTCGTCAATCAATGGTCATCAATAGGTAAGGACTATAAATTTTTTTCCTAAATAAAAAATTTAATCCTAAATAAACTTAGAACAGTGTGTTTGCATACATGCAACGTGACATACATGTTTATCAAGCTTCCCATAGATCAACCTCTCTCCACGTGCTCTAGCGTCGTATTTGGTCTGATATATTGACTGTCACCGCATGCAAAATCGCTAACAATGTTGTCAATCGAAAGGACGGCTTGACCTCCACTGACCAAACCAATGTTGATCGACAAAATGTCATTGCCTAGCATGACAATTTCGATGCTTATCGATCGATTCGACCAAAAGAGATTCACTGTTATGTTGCATTTGGAAATCTGGGTTTGGATCTATGTTAGCGGATTTAAAATCAAATGGATTTTAAATTTAAGATTTGAAATCCGTAGATTTTATGAATTATACATGAAAATTGTCTTGATTAATGTTCTAGTTTGCTTCTAACAAAAACAATTGAAATAGCAAAACCCGTAGCACATAACCTCATAGAAAATCTAAAATGCAACGGAAATGCATTGAAGAGTGCAAATACTTTCACGTGATTATTGTAATGAAGCTCAAACAAAAATTAAGGTAGCGTTTGGATACCATGGTGTTTTTAGTGTTTCTATTTTTAGCGTTTCCTTGGTGTTTTTTCCAAAAACAAAACACCAAGTGTTTGGAAACCATGGTGTTTTCGTTAGGCTATAATATCAAAAACTAAAAACACAATATTTATTTTAAAACTCTAAAAAGGTGTTTTAAGTTTGGTGTTTGTGTTTAGAGTGTTGATATAATTTCAAATTATGTGATATAATTTAATTATGTGATATAATTTTGTTATGGAGTTTTCAATCGCTAAATTGTGATCTCTTGTCAACCACAGGCAGGTATCCACCATTACGCTTGATTCAGTCGACTTGACATTTGGGACAGCTAGGGTCCCGATTCAGCCGACTTGTCGAGTCAACATCTCGATGGGTCGACTCGGAAGGCGGTAGTTGTCGATCCTCTCGTTAAGGCGATATCTCGAGCCTACTCAACTAGTTATCTGACCGCAAGCCTACCTCAACTAGTTATCTGGCCGACATCTCACGAGAGTCGCAAACCTACTCAACTAGTTATCTGGCCGACATCTCATGAGAGCCAACTCGAAAGGCAGTATCTCTCGACACCCCTCAATACAAGACAAAACGACGACTGGGACCTTTAGCCCCCGCTGACAGCGCATCGACATCACATTACATGCCTGATAGGCGTCATCATTTCTCCATCACCAGCACTATTTATGGCACATCGGACCACGCCGGCACTACAACAGCAAGGTCCGACCCAAGTCATCAATCAGCAACAGATCGCCCGACACTACAACAATAAGGTCCGACCTTGGAGATTCAGCATCGATGACCTCATCCTTTGCAAAGCCGCTTTCGATAAAGATACCAGATGAGGCAAGCTGGCTCCCAATTAGGAGGGCACATACACAGTCCTTGAGGAGTTGCGAGCATGCACTTATCGGCTAAGAGCTCTAGATGGAAGAATCATGCAACACCCTTGGAATATTAAGCATCTTAAAAAATACTTTCAATAATCCTGTATAAAATTTTATTCATTATAAATGAATTCCTTTTGAATCTGACTCTTGTATCGCACTCTCATCGTGCTAAATCTTGTGCAGGAATCCTAAGTCATTGGTGCCTTCTCAAGGTAAACCCAAGACACACCCGCCATGCGGTTGGCTCCCACATTTACAACTCAACCACCATAGTAGGGTGAAAAGACCTAAGCATCATCATTAAGACCTAGGCACTCAACCTCTGGGTTGTCATTTTGCTGAAGAGACCTAGGCGTCCTCATTAAGACCTAAGCACTCACCCTCCGGGTTGTCATTTTACCGAAAAGACCTAGACGTGATCATTAAGACCTAGGCACCTAACTTTTAGTTTGTCATTTTATTAAAAAGACCTAGGCGCTCATTAAGACCTAGGCACCCAACCTTCGGGTTGTCATTTTGTCAAAAAGATCTAGGGGTCCTCATTAAGTCCTAGGCACTCTAATGTTTTGTCCGTCCTTGACAAAAGGGCCAAGGCATCTTGCCAACAACAAAAGAAATAGCATACGAGCCGATCGACTCACCCAGTCAACACTCGGGTCATCCCAACACAACCGGCTCACGACAACTAACTGTTCTCTCAACCAGAATGAAGCTACAAACAAACAAAGCTAAAACAATGGACAATTGAAAGCACGCAAGATGGCATGGCAAAGTCTAAAATAAAAGCAAAGTCCAAATTTTCATTCCAACTTTAACAAATTGTATTACATTGTCTTACACTGATATTTACAAAAAGAAAGAAGGAAAAGATACAAGCTCTAAAGTCTCTCAGCTAGGGTCGGGAGTGGGGCTTGGAAGATCCGCTTCTGGGATGTGTAGCTGGAGTGGCAAAAGAGGAAGCAGGAGGGACTTTTCTGGGATCATCTCCTGACTCATCATCATCTCCATCGTCCAAGGCTAACTCTAGCCCTCATCCACTTGCCTCAAGCTCCTTCAAGAGGTCGAGGCAGCAAGAAACTTGAGGAGGGTAGAGGCGGTCTGGTGCGGGTTGAGAGGCGGGAGGAAGCAACGAGGCCAGGTAGTCGACACCAGCCTTGCAAGCCAAGGCCACTTCGGTATTCCCTAGGGGACCCTGGCGCTTTTCATCGACCACTTTCACCATATACTGCTCCGAGTCCAAGCGAACAAGCTGATCCTCCAAGTCTGTGATGATTGCTCTGGACATCTAGTGGGCTGACCGCTCCTTCTCAAGGTCCAGCTTCAAGTGCTCGGCCGAGAAACGATCTGACCTAGCATTCTCCTGAGTCGTCACCTTGAGATGTCTATCGTACTCAACCTCTTCTTCCAAGAAGGCAATATGGCAATCCCACTTGGTGATCCCTTGCTGGAGACTGCCGATATCTTTCTTGAGCTTGGCCACCTCACCCTGAAGATTCTTGATGGAGGCCGTCTGTTTGGCGCCGTGCGACCTATACTCCTTGTTGAGTTTCTCACTCTCGCATCTATCTCTCGACTCCACCTAGCTTCATTTCAGCTTGGCCTCCAGAGCCGCCACATTGCTCTCCCCCTCCTCCCTAGCTGACTTCTCCCTAGCAGAGGCCATCTCCAACTCAGGGGGATTGATGCATGTGAGAGAGTCGGGTGAAGAATTCCTCCTCAAGCAAGGTCCCTCGCACCAAGTAACCTTTGAGGGCCAAGTGCAAGCCGAGGCTTGGCATCTCCCATAGGAACCCCTCATCCTTCAGGAGGGCGAACTGTTATAGTGCTAGGATTTGGGCCATCTCTGAACCCTAAACCGGCACTCCTTGTTGAGAGGCACCTCTGAGATGAACCTGTCGTCCTTTGGAACCTTCCTCCTTGGCGAGTAGTAACAAGGAGGCACACCCATCAGCATGGTCGTGGACTTCTCCCAAACTTGAGAGTCAAGCTCTGAGACCTAATTGTGGAAGTGCCAGTAGGGGCTACCCTCTCGCGCCTCACTAGCATCGGGCCCGGCCGGGAGGACTTGCCCTCAAAGGGCTGGGAGGGAGGGGGGCACGTTACTTCTCCAACGACTCCTACATCCCGTGCAGGCTCCTTGCATGACCTGTGGGATGGCTCAAGCAAAAGGGCACTAAGCCAATCGCCTCTTTGGCCGGCCCTAGCCTCAACGGCGCAACCCTTGGATCTCCCCTAGTGGCCTAGAGGGGGAAACATCATCAATGATGACGACGCTGGACTTGTTGGGTAGGCGGGACGACTGGCTGTTGTGTTCTGCTGAGTCAACCTGGACCGACCCACTAGGTCCTTGGCTCTCATCCAGTCTCCTCTGTCTTTCCTTCCTCTCCTTTTTGGCTGTGGCGCTCGACCCAGCCAATCTGGCAACTATCTCTGCCACGTGCGATCTGAAGCCGTCCACTTCCTTGGGGGGCCAGATTCTCCCTTACCTCTTCTAGGGCCTTGTGGATGAGCCTGACTCCTCTCCCCTTGAATTTCTCTGAGTGATTTTTTCTAGAGGGAGAGCCAACATGCTCGCCCGCACTTTGTCGTCCTCGAAAGAGGGAACCCTTAGTATGTTGACCACCAGAAGGGATGCCGTCTCGAAGAGATTACATCTCTCCTCAGACCCAGCATAAGATCAGATCTTCTCGAGTTGCAGCCTCTCCTCAGCAGTAAGGATGCACGGCTTCAACGCATCCTTGTTAACTTCTAGCTAGTTGGGGCAAGATAGGATGCCATTGACCCCAAAAACCCACACGAACCGCTCCTTCTAGTCTCTATTAGACTCCGGAGTGTCTGACACTAGCTTACAACCACTGGTGTACTAGAAGAAGTAGTGGGGATCCTTCTTCATTGACTTGACGCTGACAAGGTTCCCCAATAACCGCAAGCTCAACAAAACGTCGACCTGGTGACAAATCACCATGAAGCCCACCAGAACTCTAATTGCATTGGGCATGAACTAAGAGGGGGACACCCACAGAGTAATGCACACATCCCTAATGAAGGGACGGAGTGGCAACCGCAGCCCATACTCGAGATGAGCGATGTAGATCGGTGACTTGTTCTGGCTGTGGTGGTACACCGACTCGTCCTCACTCGGTGCCGATAGGGTAAAGGCCTTGGGAAGATCGTAGAGCCCATAGGACATCTCGAGCTCTTAGGTACAAATCTTC